ATAAAATATATTTCAAAATTGACGTGCATTGTCAAAAATTTTGATTGTATAGTGTACAACATTTATATGACCGAAATAACAGTTCCTAATTAATACAAAATAAAACTTTGATTGAGTGAGTAATATCGATATACTTCTTTATATCACCAGATATATAGCGCGAAAGTTGATAGATAAATATTCATAGGGAATAGACAATACAATGTAACGTTTAGTGGCAAGAATATGTCACATTAATAACGTTTAGTGCCATCTAGAGATGGCGATAGACGTAAACCAAACATGGAAATAGATGCGTAAACGAGTACTTTTATAGAGATAAAATAAATTATAGCTAGAAAACTAGGAATAAATGTGATGTGGAGAGATTTTTATTTTATTTTAGATTCGTGACTTTCTTCTGTGTATATGTGTGTACAGTAAAGTTTTCATCCCATGATGAAAAAAAAAAAATCTCTGTGTCGTCTATATATATTTTTTTAAATTTTTGTATGAAAATTATAAAAAAAAAAAACTAAATGAATTTAAAGTAGAGACGTCTTTGTAGATGGTTTTTGTTTCATTCTTACTTTATAAATACATTACATATGTACATGCATAAATACATAGTATATTGGAGATACTAGTACATAATTCAAGTATTGAATTCCTGAACTATTATCGCTTGCAATATTTTATAGACCTCATAAACGTTCGTACCAGAAGTCATCATTCTAAACAATGTCATATCACTATTCATATCTGTCACAACAATTAATCTATGTGTTTAACCGGCTGCGTATGCGCATGTCGCGCCGCACTACGCGCGTCTGACGCGACTTGAGACCTATCCCGCGATTTATCTCGGGAAATTTATTTGCAATTATAATGACGTATTGCTTACTTGATAGTGTAAGAAATCGATGCTTCAACCTTCTTATGTAATTTATACTTTCGAGAGAAATTTAAATTTTAAGGAATAGATATGAAATGCATTTGATAAAATTATAAATTTGAAAAACAGATGTCCTCTTTGACTCAATATTTTACTACTCGTCAGTTTTGACAGATATAAAATAAAAAATAGTCATAGACAAGAAATTGGTTTTAAAATATTCTTATGGCTGAGTGAGAAGACTGGCCAACTTATGCTACAATAGGGTAGATTCCTGGGTTTAAAATAAATTATTTCGCATGCATCGTTAATGTCTTTATTGATTTGATATCTTGATATCAACATTAAATATAAATGATTTGACAATAGCTAGGTATGACGTCACGAAATAGTATTTCATACAAAAATGTACCGCGTCTAGCGTTTTGACGTTTAAAAAAAAGTTACTGATTTCACTTGACAGTCATCTACCCTATTGTGTTAGTAAAATTGTGGTTAGCTGGAGAGGTGGTACAGGGGCCTCTATCGCAGTTACTTGATAGGTCTGTTTCAAGCAGTATGCATATGAGTTAAATTGGCAAGGGTTCACCTCTAATATATCGTTACTCCTATATTTATTGCTTGGAACCCACACTAAATATTCTATTCATCTAAATAGACCATCATCACGTCGTAGAACTTGTAACCTTGTGACAATCATGGTTATTAGAAGGTCTATACATATTCTGCTTATATCTAAGATATCCATGGCGGGATCTGTGGAACGGGTTATCGTCTGCGGTATTTCCGGACCGATACGACCTTCAAACCTTCAAGAAAAGAGCGTACTCCTTCCTAAAAGGCAACGCGTTTGTGACTCCGGAGTTGCAGACGTTCATGGGCGGCGATAGTCACTTTCCATCAGGTGACCCGGCTGCTCGTCTGCCCCCTCTAATATAAAAAAAAAACAGCATTTCATCATAATTTGAGGTATCTACGTCGGTAGAAATGAACGCCTGTTGCCAACTTAGTCATCAAGTTTAGACTTACTAAAGAAATATTTTTTTAAAGTTATGACTTAGGAATTTAAGATTTATGGCTTTTACAGCTTCAATTATGGTAAACAATTCCTTATCTATGGATATTTGAAAAAAAAAACTTAAAACCAAATGATTAAGAACTTTAAAGTCTCTTTCGTATATGCCTATTTTATCTTTTTAATATTCAGTTAAATTCTCTCTATCGTGAGAATACTCAACCACATAAAAACAAATACACTTAATAGTCCATCGATACTAATAAGAAAACAATTACACATTTCTCTCGACAAGGCTTGTATAAATACTGACAGCAAAAAAATATGGCGGCGACGACAACATCTTACATCAATCACACACATGCACATATATAAACAGATACGTCAAAACCCCTATATATAGAATTTACTAGATAAATCGATAAGGTTTGATTTTCTGCAAAAGGCTTGGTTACCAATTCTGTATAATATGAAATCCATTATTTTTTACACAGGTTTTATTATTTATTTTTTCAAGATTTCGTTTCAAGTAATTCTAATTGGGAAGGTATATTACATTACTTAATATTTTATTAGCTTTCACTAGGATAAGCTTTTTACATTATCAATAAACGATATATTAGGGTACATAAATAATAAATAAATTATGTAAATTTTCGTAAATGCCACCACAGTAAATGTGCATAATACTTACACAGCAATTTAAAAAAAGAAGGTTGAACAATCAATACATGCTTCATCGTCATAAAATGGCAAAGACGTTTATAGATACAGCCTATGCGTTCAAACAATTATAAATTCCTCACGCGTTTGTTTCCAGTGCAAATGGAACAAAATGCCTAAACAAATTGCAGTCGGTGAGAGAGGCCGCTTTTTGCACTAATTCGGCATTCCGAAATAAAAATTCCGACTCCTTAAGTAGAAAACAAAAAGTTTAGTTGTCTCTGGTTCGGCGAACGCTCCTCTGTCTGATTTCAAATATGGAAGGAAAAAAGTTCTGAAACCGAACAGCGAGTGTTCTTTGTAAGAGCAAGAGGAATAAAGTTAATTCACAACATGTGCATTTTAAACTGTTGCAATGCGTTTGAATGAGACGTTTAATGTTGCTGGTTGCCGATTCAAAAATAAATTAATTTAAGCTTTGCCTCCGCTGCCGTCGCTCGCCGGCATCGTTTGGCGGGATTATATGCCACATGCTTCAAAATTCGAACTTCGAACTTTTTTTTTTACTCTACTTGATAATTTATAAGTATTATTTGAAGCACAAAATGTCCGTGTGTGACGGTTTAAAAATACGGAATGTAATATATATTCAATTTACAAATTAATATTTTATTATCGTCAAATGAGGTACAAATTTTCTAATATAACAGGATTTTCTTAACTTAATTACACAGTATAGTCAGGCTCTGGTACTTAAGGTAAGATTAAACTTGTGTTGTGAGTAGCAGTCCCTCTCTCATCCAAAACTAACATTCATTAAGTATTTTCTATATTATGAGATTAAATCCAGCAGATAGGATTTGTTATTGCAGTGGCACACTGGACTCAAATGCAATAAACTATCTATGATGATCAATGAATCTAGATATATCCAAAACCTATCCGTGTGGTGATAGATTAAGAATACGGAATGTCACCGCCCCGTGGGTGTCATAAGAGCCGACTAAGGGAGCAAACTACACATGACATCAGCACTGTAAAGAGAAGGAAAACTTAACACAAATCCTAGACCAACCCGTCTAGCCAGCGTGGTATAGTAGGCTAAAACCTTCTTTCTAGGGAGAGGCTTATGTCCAGCAGTGGACTATTAAAGGCTGATAATGAAGCACAAAAGAGGTCAAAGGTCATTTCCGCCTAATCCACACTGCGAAGTAATTTCGCGACGCAGATAGTCTACAATCTATAAAGGCGACCCCGTAACCTAATGGTGTGCACCCCTATGGAGGCCTTGGACTGACCTACTTGTCAAATGTCAATTGTGGGGAACTGATTAATGAAATTGAGTAGATGTTTATTGTTTTAACAGTAATAAAGAGAGAAAGCTAAAATTTGCACTGTCTAATCGGAACCGTAGCGTTGTTTAATTATTAATTTACCGACTTGTTGACACCAAGATTTTGTTTTTTTTTTTATATTGTACCACATTCACACAACGCCATCTAGTCTCAAACTAAGCAGAGCTTGTACTATGGGTACTAGACAACTGATATAAATACATATATACTTTTTTTTTTTTTGTAAATGCATACTTATTATACATATAAACACCCAGACCAAATCAAACATTAAATGTTCATGCACACAAATGTTTGACTTGAGCGGGAATCGAACCCGCGACCTTTGGAATAGCAGTCCGTTACACAAACCACTACGCCATTCGGTCGTCCGTCCGAATGTTAACGAACCATACAGTCCAATATTCAAAAATGGAATTAAAATCGGAAAATTAGTAGTCGTATTTTTTTTAATTAGTCTATCAGCCAGTAATTAGGCAAAGGAGGCTAGCTTTTTTTTAAAATTCAATTTCGTTAGCTTTTTTTTATTTGGATAATATTTGCATACTCTATTGGTAGAAATGTACATGAAAACTTATTTTATGCTAATGCTAAACAACACGACAACTTTGAAAAAAATGGTCTTAAATCTTATTCTGTATTAATTTCAGCTGGTGTGTGTTGCCCCATATCTGATTCTCTTACATCGTAAATTGCCTGCGCCGTATCTATGCCATAACAAAGATAGTGTGATCTCCATTACGGAACACCTTGACGACTTGACGACGAGGCGCAGCAGGAAGGGTGCGTCAAGACGTCCCATAAACTTTGTAGGTCAGTGTATGAGGTCACAAGGCTAAAACTATAATAGGGATATGTGTGTAGACAATCCTGTTTTATTTTTCTCTAAATTTGCCAAATAAAAAAAAAAGTTCTAAATAAAGCCCTTCATTTTGAAATTTTAAATTAAGAAAGATGTTGCGAGCTCAAAACTCTTTTTTCCATTTCATAAAAAATAACATAGTTTCTTTATGGTATTTTTTTTAAAAGAACTCATACTAATTGATTATGGTAGAATTAGACATATTCTTGGCACGTAAAGATACAAACTTACCAGGATAGGTCCATTTCGCCCTGTGCTGGTAAGCGTAGCACCAAACCACTGATTCGATTTCTGGTCAATAGGACGACCTTGACGATCCTCGTTGTTTCCTGGCAAAAAACAAAAAATAAAGAATTTTAAAACAAACCTTTTCTATGATTTATTGTAGAGCGGAAGGGACGTTTAGATAGATTCTTCAAAATGACTTGAAAAATATTGTGTCATAAAAATATCAGATTTTTATACACTTAATTATTATTGCAACTAATATACATTTATTTATTATTTAAAATTGACACTTCATTTTTTTTTTAAAGACAACTCCCGCATTAGGAATATATATTGTGTCGGGACGGGGGACTTTACAAACATGCATGAAACGGACACAAAGAACACCCAAACTCAGAACAACCATTTGTGGATCACACAAAGTGTCGTCCCATGTGGGGATCGAACCCACAACACTCAGCGTAGTAGTAAGTGGCGTGGCGACCGCTTAAACCACTACGCCATCCGTGCAGTCATTGGCCATTAGGTGAAGTACATTTAAGCTACATCTATAAGTTATAAACACTTATGTGAGTTTAAAAGCCTTTAGAAGTCATGAGTAAACGAAGGGTCATATACAAGAGACGTTTCACGTCGCGCCTCGGGGTAAAAACGGACGACATCCATTCGAAATATATTAACGTGCAATTAAATAAGCATATTTCAGTCTTTTGCTTTTTGGACAATAAATCATGCAAAAAGAAATCGTGGTCATCCTCAAAAGACGACATTCATCAACCGTTTAAATTTATGGCAGAAATATTACGGTCATAATGGCATGCCATTAACATTTAATTTAAGCAATTCAATTGCAATATTCGCGTGATACATGTATTACGTGATGATGACACATCACATGACATCAACAGCGTTTAATAGTCCACTGCTGGACATAAGCCTCTCCTCAGAAAGGAGGTTTTGGCCTACTATACACCGTGTGGTGACGGATTAAGAATACATAGTGTCACCACCCCTATTCATCCCGTGGGTGTCGTAAGAGCCGACTAAGGGAAAAAGCTACGCAGAACAATAACACTGCAGAGAGAAGGAAAACTTGACACAAATCCTATACCAACCCGTCTGGCCAGCGTGGTATAGTAGGCCAAAACCTCCTTTCTAAGGAGAGGCTTATGTCCAGCAGTGGACTATGAAAGGCTGTTGATGATGATGATACACCGCTGGCCTGACAGGTTGGTATAGGGCTTGTGTCAAGTTTTCCTTCTCTCTGCAGTGCTGTTGTTCTGCGTAGTTTTTTCCCTTAGCCGGCTCTTACGACACCCACGGGATGAAAAGGGGGTGGTGACATTCTTTATTCTTAATCCGTTACCACGTAAAATATCTTATGAAATAATTTTTTTAAGTCATCAAGTATCTTTTTTTAATATTTACCCTGCTGCTTCTCAGAAACGGTTGCTTAGCCATTATTACGAGGTTTTTTAAAAGTCATAATGACAAAAAAGCATCAATCGAATATTCCCGAAACAAGCTTAATTTTATTGAATTTTCGATTGAACTGCCATTACGAACGTACCAAAAAAGGCAAAGACAGTCAGTATTCAATGTAACGTCGGAAGACATATCGTGTTATAACTTAATTCGACTCACCGGGCATCCATCTTGTTTTGTACAGTGAATTTAATATTTGAACAGCAAAAATGGCGCGGATGATACATGCATTTTATTAAAAAAGTATCCATTGCGTCAAGGTTTGTAAGTTAACCTTTTTTTTGGTTTTAAAATTGCAAAAGAGTATCGTAATGTGTTGTTTTTGTATTGCATTGGAATTATGTTATAAACATAAGCTGGTCACTGCTCAGCTCCTAAGAAGCTTTGCTTTTGCTTTATTATATTGAGGTATTTTAATATGCTATATATTTTTGTTGTTGTTTTGCTCGTAACATGAAAAAACAAAATAAGAAACTAAAAAGAATCATTTAGTTACATTTGCTTATATTATTCCTACTGTAATCTAGTTTATAGTCACTTACTTCTATACCACCCAAAGGTGTGGTATCAAGTCCACCATTGTAGAATTTTATTTTAGTGCTAAAGAATAAAATAAATAAGTATTTTTATCTTTGCTTTTATTTAAAGAAAAAAATTGTCAGTATATATTAAAACAGTAAGATTTTATTTAAACCAGTATTCCCGCGATCACGCAATGACTGAAGCAAATCTTAAATCTGACAATGGTAATTAAAATTAAAGCGAACGCTATCATCCGTTTTAATTATTAACCAAGAAGGTTTGAGTAATGGTGTACACTGTTGTCGATTGCGTGAGGTATTATAATTAAAACGATAAGGTTTTTGGACGTAATTCAATTTCTTTACCCTACAAAAGATCGTGATGGTTTAGGGCCAAGATTGTATATCAAGAGGGATCAAAAATGGCTCATCTTTCTGTCTTTAGCGTTGTGAAACCGGAGTTATGTCCCTCCAATACACTGGGAAGATCCTCCGACCAAGCGAGGTGATAATGCCTAGGGGGCCGCAACCCACGGTTGATGTTAGGAAGCTATATATATAATATTCGGCGCGATAACTGTCATTGCGTACTGCAGGATTAGTTGTTACGCCGCAGTTCGGTATGTCTTCGTGAGATGGCGCTGATGTATGTTTTTGTAACATAGAGTGTGTATTTGAAATCACGCAATATGTGACATTGTAAAGGATTTTGTTTTGCCCAGCGATGGACTCTGACTTACTGAAAGTGATCGTTATCATACGGAATAGAGAAATACGGTGCTGGGTAAGGAATTAGAGAAGACTGGGGTAAGGGATACCGTAACTCTCGAATGGCCAACGGGACTGAAGCTAGGGTCACTAGGCCAGAGACGTCAACTAGAAGGTGTGACAGACTATCGATATTGACGGACTAAAGTCCGATAGAATCTTCTGTTTTTTACTGCTAGAATTGTATCACGGATATTGTATGACATATAAATAAAACAATAAAACAATATTAACAACCAATCTGTGGAACGGGTTATCTTCTGCGGTATTTCCGGACCGATACATCCTTCAAACCTTCAAGAAAAGAGCGTACTCCTTCCTAAAAGGCCGGCAACGCGTTTGTGACTCCTGAGTTGCAGATGTTCATGGGCGGCGGTGGTCACTTTCTACATTAAAAAAAATATATATATTACTGTGCTGTGTTATTTTCCAGTCTAAAATACTTCACTTCTTGGAACTTCTGCACTTAAGTGCAGGGTTTTTAAATTTCCTATTTCAAAAAATGTAACCTCAATTAATTTATTTTCTAGTATTTTAACAATTAAAACAAAATATAGGGTGACCACATATCACTGATGTATAGGACATTAGCACTTTGTCATTACAGTGACGTCGTCATGTAATGATGGTAGTCGTTAATGAGTTAATGACCAGCTAACCTCTCCCCTCCATCCGCGCTCCTTCCCCGCCACTCCCCGGTGCTCTGCGCTTAATCACGCTGGGGTTAGGCTTTTAAACTGATTGCGTTAGTACAATCGTAAACAGTGATCTTTCGTATCATAAAGTTGTTTTCTTAGGTGTTCTCAAATTTCATTTCATATATTACCAAGGGTTTTTTTTTTTTAAAGTCGTTTTCAATTCGAGGCCCCTTTTTATCTAAAGTTTATCTCAAAGAAGTCACTGAAGTCGCTTCCTGTTTAGCCACTATCATGCAAATAATGCAAATGCATGCAAATACATATACATTTATATTGGATAGTTATTTACGAGTAAGGCCATCGTTCAGCAGTGGACATTATTTGCTTAGTTGTAAATATTTACAAGAGCATATACTCTTTGTTGAGTCTGCAAGCCCAAAATCGATCGAAGTGGCGTGGACTGCGATAGGCTGATGATGATGAAATATGCTCTTTGAACAACAACACTCAAATCTCTAAACTCTAAAGAGATGCAAGCCTAATATGTACAGATTTTAAGAAATATCTTTTACTTAACACCTGTGTGCTTGATGATACACTACAATGACACGACTGTCTAGTTAGCCGCTACTGCATATCGAACCGTATTTTTTATATTTTATTACTCTACTCCCATAGACTCGTCCAACGATCTCTATAATACTCCAACACATACTAATTTTGTACCCACATTTGTTTTTGATCATGTAATTTATCTCAAGACTTTATGGTGAAGAATTTCTTATTTTAATATTTAAGATCACCGTTTACAAAGTATTAAAATATTTAATGACTGTTAATGTCGTGATTTAAGCACAGCTGGTGGTGGTTTGTTTAAGTGGCATTAATAAAATATTTGAATTTTAATACGTTTAACATATTTTAATTAGAATGATTTTAAATAATTAAAGTATCGTGCATCTTTTGAATGTAACACCAGACAGTCTACATCAAATTAGCTTATAGTGCGGAGTAGCTTGTATAGTAAGAGTACCACTCAACCTTCAACAGACTTCCTTTACCTGTTAGAACGTCAGGAGGACTCCAGATTTGCACCAGGGACTTCCTTTCTAGGGTATACCTGGTTCCCCGGCTATTAGTACCCGAGACGGCGTGCGGTTTTAGTCGGTTCGAGTCCGACATGCCACCGACAGGTGGTATCCGAGGGGATTTCCGCACGGAAAAATAAATAAAAAATAAAAGGAGGACTCCAGATTTGCTTATGAAAATGGTGTTTGTCAAAGCTCACAGAGACTGGAGACGTTGGGACTGGGTCATTAAGCGTTTTACGGTGACAAGTGTGTCCTCCAGGGTGGGAGTATACGCCTTCGTTCCTGTTTCCTTGCCACCATTTTTTTGTGTGTAACTCCTCCTTATAGGATGTGGTGGCGGAATGCGCTCTCGCTTGGAACGCTGGACAAATCATGATTGCTGACGATAGGCAACCTGCACCGAGGTTAAAACAGAATGCCTGTCGATTTTCTTATAAATATGTTAAAGAAATAACGAGTATTCTCTAAAAAGGATAATCTAGTGCCCATCTAGTGTCACAACCATAACTCTATAATTTTGATTAACGTTCATGTAAGTAAAACAACAAAGGGACTTAATCATCATTATCATCGTCATCAACAGCCTTTACTAGTCCAC